GGAGATAGCATGTCAGTCATCAGTCACCCTTCCGGGCAGAGCACGCACATTCATTTGCGTAGAATAACAGTAGGTACCATGGTCAGGGACCAGGCCAAGAGTTAATGGACCACCTCAGTAACCCAATGAAGGAGTTACTACTATTATCCCCATTTTACAGATGAAGAGAGTGAGGTTAAATAACCCTCCCAAGGTCACACACTGGGAAACCATGGCACTAGGATTGCAATCCAGGCAGTATGAGTATTTTCTCGGTTGCTTATATTGACCGTGGGAAGCATGTTCTTGGCCATGTTCCCGAGTCTGCTGGGGAGTTGGCAAGTGACTTAGGAGAAAATAAGTTACACGCTACTTACGGGAGGAGTTCTGACCTAGGGAGCAACCTGGGCCACTCCCTGAATTCCTCGGTCCCATGTACTGTGATGGCCCAAATGGCCAGTTAGAGCTGGAGGGTGTTGGGAGCAGAAAGCAACATGGGACCATGAGGAGTGGGTTCCGAGGACCCCCGAGCAGGGCCTAACGGCGAGGGTGATGGCGCTGTGAGAGGGCCCGGGAGCTTGATCACGGTTGGTCAAGCCCAGAAGCCCCCGAAGCCGGTGCGGGAGGTTGTCCTTTGGCCTTTCTTCTTGCCTTGAGGTAGAACGGAGGGCTTCTTTCTCCTCCTTCCCTTTGTCCCTGTCCACCCCATCTCTCTAAGAAAGCCCCGGATAGAATCTGCTGCTTCCGTGCTGTTGGCCCCAGCCCCCGCATCTGTTCACTGCCTTTGAGTTGGACATCCTTCGTTTGCAGCCCCGGGCCCTCGCAGGCTTACCTGATGGCTGCGTCTGCGGACCCCTAACTGTCTGGCTTCTGATTGTCTGACCCACAGGAGGCCCCAGGCTGGAGTTGGAGGGGCTGAAGGAGAGAGGAGTTGCCTCTCTGGGCCCTGCCTGCGCTGAGCTCAGTGGGTTCGGTGACTCCCCCTCACCCAGGCTCTCCACCTCCTCAACAGAGCGCCCTACCCTCCCTTACGCTGTAGATGTTGGACTCCTCAGTCACTCTGCCTGGGTGCACCAGATGTTCCTTGGCTGGACTCTGATAGTCACACACCTTAACATGTTTCGGGTTAAATTGGAGAAAAAAGGACAAACAGCAGGTTTGTCCAGGCTCTGTCCCTTGCCTCACATCCCAGTCCAGTCGTCCCAAACCAGCAGGATCTGCATCTCTTGCAGCTTGTGAAAAATGCTGATTTCTGCCCTAACAGTTGGTTAGAGCAGCGGTCGCCAACCTTTCGGACCTCACGGACCACCAGAGCATCGTCCTGATAGGCCACGGTGCTGGGTTCACTCCCCAGTCAGAGCACATACAAGAATCAACCAATGAGTGCACGAGTAAGTGGAAGGACAAATTAATATTTCTCTCTCTCTCTCTCTCTCTCCCTAAATTTAAAAGTATAAAAGTTTTAATGCAAATTTCTACTTATCCCTGCTATGTGGAGTCCATGTGTGGTAATTTATTTCTTGAGGCTAAATTACATCTTCACTTATGGTTCTCTTACATTGCAAGTGCTTGCATTGAGTCAGAAACGGGGTGTGGGTGGAGGGTGGGGTGGGACCCAACAACTTGCCCGTCGGTGATGTTGCCGTGCGCAGGGAGTTTCTGAGAACCTCGGCCCCTCTGTCCCGCCCGTCCATCCGCCCAGCTGCATGTGGGACACAGCACAGTCGCGTGTCTGTGCTCACGTCTCTTGCCTGTCATACTTTACATAAAGCAGAGCCACATACTTGTTGCCTCTGCCTCCCGAGAGAGGCGGCTCTGATGGTGCGCTTGGAGTCTGCGCTTCTCGGCGACGTCACTTAAAAACAGCCAACCAATCTATCGATCATTTGCTCAGTAGAAGTTTAATGGAGAAATAATCTGTTTAAAACAATCCGTCAAAAAGAACAGCTCTTTTACAAACAAGTGATGGCAGTGACAAGTCAAAACCCCAGGCTTGATGTCCTGTTCCATCAACCCACCCCTAGAAGAGGGAGGAGGTGGGCGAGAAGGAAAGACGGGACCATTTACATGTCGGCTGGAGGAATTACAAAAATACACTCTGATGTAGCGACTGGGTTGTCATGAAACATGCTGTGGGTGGGGCGGGGGAGGCGTGGAGACCTGGAGGCGAAGCCCGGCTCAGTGCCGCGGGAAGGGAGGAATCCGGATGCCCAGCCGGCAGGTCTGGGCCTGGCGACATGCTGTTTTGGGGATCACCCGGACACCTGGGGAGACAGAAATGATTATAATGACAAACCAGACAGTTCTACTGACCCTTCAATCCTAGACACCCTAGTGACTGAGCGATGGGAAGGAGGCAGAGAAAAGCTACCAACCAGCCAAACAGCCCCTGGAGCAGCAACTCCCTTACACCTGCTTTCCCTCCCTGGCTCTAATATATATGATACATACAGACCTAGTATATAGCAGACCATCACACTATAGTCTATTGGCACGACTAGCAGCATAAAGGAGAGGCCTATGGGCTAGTATTTGAAAGGCACAGGGTAGGTGCCCGGCCTGGAGACCGTTCTCTTATCCCTGGTATGTGGAGTCCATGTGGAGTCATTTATTTCTTGAATTACACCCTCACGTGTGGTTGTCTTACATTGCAAGTGCTCTTTCAGCCTGATTTCACTAATTCCTCATCACGAATGAATGTGCTCACTTTCCACTGCCTATGAGGGTCAAGGCTCCGACGGTATAGGGACAGGGAAGGGACAGAAGATCCCCAGACCAGGTGTGGCCTTCTCGTCATTCTGCCTAGGTCCTGCACGCAACGTCCCTCCTTCCTAACACATCGCTACACTTTCTGATTAGGGTTCCTCAGCCCATTCCAGTGTGAGACAGCCCCGCTTCCTCCAACCTTATCAGAACAGATTGGCACTGGATGTCACAGAAGCATAGCTTAGCACTGGCAACTGGAGTCCCCCAAGCTGGAGAAATGTCGAGCGAGGGCAGGGCTGGTTGGGGTAGAAGAGAATAAAGGCAAGCTCATAAACACACATCCATCTTGGAACTCAGCAACCATGAATGTGTGGAAAAGAAATAGAGAGGTGGCTCTAGAAGGAGAGAGCGAGCAATCGACAAAACCCGAATGAGCTGGTGGATGTTTCTAGCGTTTCCATCAGGAAGTTTACATCGTGAGCAGAGCAGCAGACAGAAGCTAGTCACCAGTTTTGTCTCAGTGCCGCTCAGTTGGAAGCTTAATAGAAAATGAGAAAAACCAATTGCCTGAATAGGAGCTCAAATAGTGTGTGTGGTTTTTTTAAAAAAAATACATTGATTCCTGCAAATGTGGCTGATTTTAAACTGTCTTTCAGTAAAGAAAATAATTGTACTTCAGAATCAGACAGAAGTGTCAGTTCCCTAAGAGTCACTTTATAGAAGAATGTCTAAGATTTGAGAGAATTCAACCCGCGCTACTTCTGAAAGATGTATTGTTAAGCACTGTGCAGATACGGCTTAGGAAGAAATAGAATGCTTGTTAAGGACCCGAGAGTATGGCTTCAAAAACAGTGCAGGTTCATTCAGGGCCTTCGCAGATTAGTCATTCTGCTAAAATAAACACAGCGGCCTCTCACAACCGAATGCACATGCCCATGTTTGGCCAGGGACCTTTTGCAGACAAGCTGGCCTACCTGCAAAGAGCCACGTGGGCTGCCTCCCTGCTGAGGTGTGAGTGCCAGAGATGAACATGTATTAATATGCTTTGAAGAAGGATGATGAACAATCTGGCTACCTTTGCAGTATGGGACACAAACTAAAACAGCACATGCAGGCTTTTTTTTTTTTTTTTTGCCTCGGAGGGAAAAGCCCCACTAGGGTAATGTTTGGGAAATGTTTTTGACCAACTGATTAGTTCTTTCTGTTAGGGCAAGTTTCTAGACTATTTAAGAAGAGGTGTGAGGCTCTGCAGATCATCTTTTTAAAAATAAATATATGTTTTTATTGATTTCAGAGAGGAAAGAAGAGGGAGAGAGAGAGAGAAGCATCAGAGATGAGAAACAATCACTAATTGGCTGCCTCCTGCACGCCCCGCGCTGGGGATTGAGCCACAACCAGGGCATATGGCCTGACCAGGAATCAAACTGTGACCTCCTGGTTCATAGGTCAATGCTCAACCACTGAGCCACGCCAGCTGGCCTCTGCAGATAATATTATGCCCATATGTGAATTAAGGCACATAGGCTTGATGGGTTTTCTTAGATTTTCAGAAAATTCCATTGTGCTAGCTCTCTGTGCCATTCAATATTAATAGATAGTAGATGGGATGAGGAAAGTTGAATTGGTAATGAGGCAATAGATCAGGGTCTTTGATGTTTATTATCTGATATGTATTATAGGTACATGTAATGTTTATTATCTGATATGTATTATAGGTACATGTAGAAGCATGGTAATGGGGGTAAGAACAGACCAGAAGGGAGGAAGGAATAAGGGCAAGCACACAAACCAAAACAAACCAAAAATGGCCCTGGGAAGAAGCAAAAAGTGAGGAAAGATGATCCCTTAGTTCCGACTCTAAAAGCGACTGGGTCAGTTTGGCCAGCTTCTCAAAGCTCAGTGACGATGCCATCAGTCCATCAGGTGGTAGGATGGACACATGGCAAGTGGAAGAAAGAAGAGCAGAAAGTGTAGCTCCTGGCCCTAACAACAAATCCTACACTGGGAGACTGGGAAAGTTTCATGGTTTCCATGGAATCCAGTCGTCTAGAGATATAGAGGGAGACATGGGGGATAGCTAAGCTGTTTTTGAAGGTGAAATAGCAATATCACAGCCACAGAAATAAGACTCTTTGCTAACGGCTAAGGGTAGGTCTAGCTACTGGTTCTTAGAGATAAAGTCTCTGAGAAAAGGTGTGCTGAATTGTTGCCATGGCAACCGAATAGGAGAATTGGTCCCCTTATCTGTCCCCATAGTAACTAAGCTCCTGGAGAGTTATAGAGGAATTAGTTATCTTAACCTACTACTATTATCCCCATGGTAACTAGTCTCTCAATGGCAGTGGTCAGCCTTAAGAAGCAATCCTAAAAAAAAAAAATTTGCTCCTGAAAAAAAGGGTGGGCAAGAAGCAGGGGGGTGAACACCTTGGGGTGTGGGGGTGTGTGCTTGGGGGCTAATGCGCTAAGATGGGTATATGAGGTTTCTTCTTGCCCCCAGCTCATTCCTGCCCAACTCACTCATGGGTTGAAGTGGACGGTGCAGCTGGGAGGGGCTCCCCTTCCGGCTACACATTACCATTCCGGTTCAGGGTGCGCCGGCGCTGGCTGGACTGCAGGCTCAGGACCAGGTACTGCCTCATGAACTCACTGAACCGCTTCTGGTTGGCCAACTTCCGGGCCGACTTCCGGGCCCCGGTGAAGCCCCCAAACCTCTTCTGCAGCTGCTTCTGCTCCTCTCCAGCCTCATCCATGCCAGGCTCTGTCTCTTTCTGTGTTTCGACAAGGCTCCTGACACGGGGCATTCGCTTCAGATGTATCTCGGAGGCTCCTGGCTGGTAAAGAGCAGCTGCCAAGTGCTCTGGGTCAGCAGGGCTGAGCTGCCAGGGGCCCCTGGCAATGATCTTGGTGCATGGGGTCCAGAGAGGGCTGGGCAAGACCTTCCCTTCACACTCGAGGATGCACACCTGCAAAGACAGAGGTGGGAGGAAGGGAGAAGGACAGAGGGACATCTATTAATCCAAGGCAATGAGGGGATAAAGTTCCTCCATCATCTATACCTGTACCAATGCAAGTACTTCTAAAGCATTTCTTTCTTAAGTACTGTGCAGCTGTTCTACATGTAATTATTTAGGTTCTTCGAATTTCAAAGTTGGAAAGAGACAGAAAACTCCCTGGCCCAGCTCCATCATTTCGCAGATGAAGAAACTTGGGGCTCAGAGATGTGACGTTAACTTATCCCAGGTGACACAGCAAGTTAACACAGAGCACATGCACTCAACTGTACCCTGTTATAGACTTAGTTGGGTGTTTGGAGTCAAACACAGCTCATGAGGGTCACCCATAAAGAAGACTTTTCATTTGTTCTTTTATCAGACTTGGAGGTCAGACTGGCTTAAGAAATTGAGGATGCCAAAGCATGTAGTTAAATCTGCATGGTTATTTTAAGGTCACCAGGGAAATGATCAATCCTGGTATTAATTTTTCACGCACCTCCCCTCGCCCCACAACACTATTCATCACTATCTGTGCTTCATTTATAGCACTGCTCGGTCTATCAGTCTGTTGGTGTTTCTCTGAATGGCACCTTATTCCCTAGTTCTGTGGTTGGCAAACTGTGGCTCACGAGCCACATGCGGCTCTTTGGCCCCTTGAGTGTGGCTCTTCCACATAATACCACGTGCGGGTGCGCACGTACAGTGTGATCGAAGTCGGTATTTTGTGGAAGAGCCACACTCAAGGGGCCAAAGAGCCGCATGTGGCTCGCGAGCCGCGGTTTGCCGAGCCACAGTTTGCCGACCACTGATAGGGAAGAGGGATCATCAGATACAGCGCAGTAGACCCGCCAGGCTCCTGGAAACTTCTGCTGTGGCTCTGCCTCTCCAGGCATCTCCCGCTTCTCATTGGAATCAGCGGCCTAACCGTGATGTTTTCCTGACTGGTCCTGGCCTTCGCCCTAGTCCTCCACACTTCTGTCTCTGACTGGATCTCTTAGAAGCCTCTGTCTCCAACTTTTCTTCTAATTTGCTGTTTTGGCGTCACCCCAAATTGTCCTCTCTGTGTTTCTGGCCTTAGCCAGATGAAAATCCCACATGACCCTGACCTTGCCATCATGGTCAGCAGGAAGCTGCAGTCTTTCATCAAACCTTGGAGCTCTTGCCTGGCTTGTAGAGCACGAAGAGCTACTGCTCTGGGCAGGGGCGGGACATCAGAATACTGATGGGGAAGAGGGACCCTCAGATACGATCCAGCAGGCCTGTGTGTGTCCTATAGTCCCGACCTGGGGAGCAAAAACACTCACTCAGCTGTTCAGAGGGTCACAGATGCCTCTGTGGGTGAGATTTACAAGCCGATGTCTAACCAAGGAATGAGATGTGCAGGCAGCTTAGATCCCACACCCCTCAGGCTAAATCCTAAAAGCCTCTTCAATCCTACTTCTCCTGCAAGGTTTTGCCGCTTCTGACCCTCACCTCCTTTGGTCACTGCTCGGTCTATCAGTCTGTTGGTGTTTCTCTGAATGGCACCTTATTCCCTAGTTCTGTGGTTGGCAAACTGTGGCTCGCGAGCCACATGCGGCTCTTTGGCCCCTTGAGTGTGGCTCTTCCACAAAATACCACGTGCGGGCGCGCACATACAGTGTGATTGAAACTTTGTGGCCCATGCGCAGAAGTCGGTATTTTGTGGAAGAGCCACACTCAAGGGGCCAAAGAGCCGCATGTGGCTCGCGAGCCGCCGTTTGCTGAGCCGCAGTTTGCCGACCACTGCCCTAGTTGACTCAGGGCATATCTTCAGTGTCCCCCTTCTCACAAACCTCATTGCCCCTCCAACCAGTATATAAGTTTGCCCTCCTTCCCGCGCCTTCTTCCTAAGGACCTCTTAGGGTGCAGTGGCTTCCTCATTGAGCTCTCCATCTAGGATCTTTCAGGCTCTGATCCATTTTCTATCCTTGGCAGAATAGTCTTCCTGAAGAATAGATCAAATCACATCATTACTTGCCCATAACTGTCCAATGTTTTGTCTTTGTCCATAAACATAACTTCAAACTCCCAAGCTGAGCATTCAAGCTCCTTCACCATTTAGTCCTAGACCATCTTCCAGTCTTAGTTTTGATTCCTCCTCACCTCTTCTGCCCCATTCAGGCATAGGGGGCTTTCCCCAGTGCCTCGAACATACGCAAGCCTCCACCACACCTGTTCTCAATCTGTTCCCTTTGATGGGATGATCTCCTTCCACCCCTCTTTGGGGTCAGCCAGGCTCGTGTCCCCTATGACACCTTCTTCTGGCTCCCTGGCCAGAATGGTCATCTCCTACCTCTGTGCTCCCACAGAACTTTGTATGGCTCTTGTGGAAATTTGACTGTTTAATATTATTGTAACACTTTACAAGGCAGAATATGGCAGGTTAGGGACCATCTCTCACTCATGTTTACGTCCTTTACAGGAATCTTCTCCACCCCAGCAAATAGTAGGGCTTCACTAGAGGTTTGTTGCCCTGAGCTGAATGAATCAAGAAACCACTTCATGTTTAAGTAAACGTGAAAAAGAAAAAAACTATTTTTTTAAGAAAAGACAAGAAAGAGAGTCACTGGAAAGCCAGGAGTTGCAGCTGATCGCAGCCAGAACTCAAACTCCCCCCGCACCCCCACCCCCGCATTTCCTGCACGCAGCTGGTACAGTATTTGTCGCTCTGTCGCAACTCTTTGTTTCCCTGATTACTTGTCTGTCCCATTAGATCAGGTTCCTAACCCTTTTTTGGGTCATGGATGCTTTTGAGATTCTGATGAAAGCCATGGACCCACCCTTTCATCATATCAAATGCACACTCATGCCCGGCTGGCATGGCTTAGTGGTTGAGTGTCGACTTATGAACCAGGAGGTCACAGTTTGATTCCCGGTCAGGGCACATGCCTGGGTTGCAGGCTCGATCCCCAGTGGGGGGTGTGCAGAAGGCAGCCAATTAATGATTCTCTCTCATCATTAATGTTTCTATCTCTCCCTCTCCATTTCTCTCTGAAATCAATAAAAACATATTAAAAAGTGCACACTCATGTCAAATTTGCATGCAGTTATAGAAGGTTCATAGATCTTCTAAAGCCGATCCATGGACCGTCATCCATCGACTCCAGACTAGGGACCTCTTCACCGGGCTGTCAGCTGTGCTGTAGGGAGAGTCTGTATGCATTTGGGTATCTAACACCTGGGATACAAAGTGGAGTCCCTCGTGAGCATGAAAAGTGGAGAGAATCAACAGGAGAAAGGAAGGAGTGTGCAGCTGAAGTCACCTAGTGGACACACTGGGAAGCGGCCCCAACTCAGCACAGCATTGCTTAGAATGCTGTCTCAGGAGGAACCTCCGGCTGTACCTGGTCCAATGGATCCCAGCCCTGGGTGTGAATCTAAATCATCGACAGAACTTAAAAAAGCACACGGAATTTCAAAAGCCAGTTAAATCCCCGAAGAATAGAACCAGGGCTTGAGTTTATTTTTACAAAGCTCAGGTAATTCTGACATTTGCCCAGGTTTGGAAACCCCCGATGTAGTCCATGTTCACGTGTTACAGTAAGATTCAGTAACATGTCCAAAAATGACACCGTGAGAAAACAGTATCACCAGAACAAGATCACAAATGTCTGGACTCCCACCTCAGGACATCTTGGAAGAAAACCAGGTAGAATCTAATTTGTAACACGTTCTTTCAGACCATAATGCTCTTGGGTTATTACTCTACAGCAGTGGGTCTCCACTGGAAGAGATTTTGCCTCCCTTCCCCCGCCCCAGGAACATTTGGCAATGTCTGGAGATATTTTGGGCTGTCACACGGTGGGGGGACACTATTGCTCTCTGTGGGTAGAGTCCAGGGGTGCTGCTAAACTCCCTACAATGCACAGGGCAGCCCCTCCCCCCCAACAAATAATTACCCAGCCTAAACTGTCCTCAGTGGCGAGCCTGAGAAACCAGACACTGCAGAGTCAAGAGGAAAACAGGAAAACATGGGGGGCAGCACGTGGAAAGCCAAGAGGAGTGTAGAATTTTGGACACTTGGTCCAATCCTCCTAGAATAGTAGCCCCAAATGCCTGTTGAACTGTTCTATACCTTCAGGTTACAGGAACAGGTGGACGTTGTTAAATCTAAAGGCTATGAGATCTTCTGCAAGTCCCTGGGGTCTCTAGGCCCAGATGGTAACGAGATTGTGTGTCAATCAGAGAAAATGAAATTGTATGATCGAACCAGATGCATAGCCCCGTGCGAAGACACGTCATACTGTTAGACGAATTAGGTGCTCGCGAAATCATCTGAACTCGTGATTTCGGAGAAGGTTTTGGGCAAATGTGAGGAATCCAAATTCACAACAGCATTTGTAGCACCAGATGGGCATCGGCGCTTAATGCCGAACCGTCTGGTCTGAGGGAGCCACCAGCCTCTTTCCAGAGATGTGTTAATAGCCTATTAAGCGAGCTGGACGCATTGTCCCAGCCCACGCGGAGGGCATGGCTATATTAAGCCTGAGTGCGGGTGAGCATCTGGAGAGTCTCAGATTGATGCCAAATGGGTCTGCAAAGCTGGGCTTGTGGGGAGACTGAGCACAGGCCGTTTGGATGTCTGGGATCACGGACTAGGGAACAGGCACCGGAGCCCATTAGAAGGGAAAGCAGCAGCCCCTTCAGGGTCTCAGATTCTCCCCATTGAAGAATCAAACCACTTCTGACCAAGGGACATCCGGGGGCTGTTTGCTTTAGGGCAGTGGTTCTCAACCTTGGCTGCACGTTATAATCACCTGGGAACCTTTTTAAAATCCTGATTTCAGTGCCTCCTCCTCTGGAAATTCTGTTTCTTTGTTACTAATGCTGTGGCCCCACCCCATAACAAAGAAACAGAATTTCCGGAGGATGAGGCGAAATCAGGATAGAAGCACCTGGGAGTCTTTTTAAAATCCTGATTTCTGGGCCTCATCCTCCGGAAATTCTGT